ATCTAATGGCATGTATGTACATTATTGTGGGGAAACTAGCCTATTAAAAAAAAAAATATTTTCCTCCAAAATGCTGAACCACCCCGGCCCTTACCATTTCGGCCTGAAATTGGTGTTTATTCAAATTATAACAATATTTGCCCCTACGCCCCTTTCAAAGGGATATGGGGGTCAAGATCCATCTAATGGCATGTATGGACATTCATTGTGGGGAAACTAACCTATTAAAAAAAATATATTTTCCTCCAAAATGCTGAACCACCCCGGCCCTTACAATTTCGGCACGAAAGTTGTGATAATTCAAATTTTTACAATATTTGCCCCTACGCCCCTTTCAAAGGGATATGGGGGTCAGGATCCATCTAATGGCATGTATGTACATTATTGTGGGGAAACTAGCCTATTAAAAAAAAAAATATTTTCCTCCAAAATGCTGAACCACCCCGGACCTTCTAATTTCAGCCCGAAAGTTGTGATAATTCAAATTTTTACAATATTTGCCCCTACGCCCCTTTCAAAGGGATATGGGGGTCAGGATCCATCTAATGGCATGTATGTACATATATTGTGGGGAAACTAGCCTATTAAAAAAAAAAATATTTTCCTCCAAAATGCTGAACCACCCTGTCCTTACCATTTCGGCCTGAAATTGGTGTTTATTCTAATTATAACAATATTTGCCCCTACGCCCCTTTCAAAGGGATATGGAGGTCAAGATCCATCTAATGGCATGTATGTACATATAATGTGGGGAAACTAGCCTATTAAAAAAAAAAATATTTTCCTCCAAAATGCTGAACCACCCCGGCCCTTACCATTTCGGCCTGAAATTGGTGTTTATTCAAATTATCACAATATTTGCCCCTACGCCCCTTTCAAAGGGATATGGGGGTCAAGATCCATCTAATGGCATGTATGGACATTCATTGTGGGGAAACTAACCTATTAAAAAAAAATATATTTTCCTCCAAAATGCTGAACCACCCCGGACCTTCTAATTTCGGCCCGAAAGTTGTGATAATTCAAATTTTTACAATATTTGCCCCTACGCCCCTTTCAAAGGGATATGGGGGTCAGGATCCATCTAATGGCATGTATGTACATTATTGTGGGGAAACTAGCCTATTAAAAAAAAAAATATTTTCCTCCAAAATGCTGAACCACCCCGGCCCTTACAATTTCGGCAGGAAAGTTGTGATAATTCAAATTATCACAATATTTGCCCCTACGCCCCTTTCAAAGGGATATGGGGGTCAAGATCCATCTAATGGCATGTATGGACATTCATTGTGGGGAAACTAACCTATTAAAAAAAAAATATTTTCCTCCAAAATGCTGAACCACCCCGGACCTTCTAATTTCAGCCCGAAAGTTGTAATAATTCAAATTTTTACAATATTTGCCCTACGCCCCTTTCAAAGGGATATGGGGGTCAGGATCCATCTAATGGCATGTATGTACATATATTGTGGGGAAACTAGCCTATTCAAAAAATATAATATTTTCCTCCAAAATGCTGAACCACCCCGGCCCTTACAATTTCTGCACGAAAGTTGTGATAATTCAAATTTTTACAATATTTGCCCCTTCGCCCCTTTCAAAGGGATATGGGGGTCAAGATCCATCTAATGGCATGTATGGACATTCATTGTGGGGAAACTAACCTATTAAAAAAAATATATTTTCCTCCAAAATGCTGAACCACCCCGGCCCTTACAATTTCTGCACGAAAGTTGTGATAATTCAAATTTTTACAATATTTGCCCCTACGCCCCTTTCAAAGGGATATGGGGGTCAGGATCCATCTAATGGCATGTATGGACATTCATTGTGGGGAAACTAACCTATTAAAAAAATATATATTTTCCTCCAAAATGCTGAACCACCCCGGACCTTCTAATTTCTGCCCGAAAGTTGTGATAATTCAAACTTTTACAATATTTGCCCCTACGCCCCTTCCAAAGGGATATGGGGGTCAGGATCCATCTAATGGCATGTTTGTTCATTCATTGTGGGGAAACTAGCCTATTCAAAAAATATAATATTTTCCTCGAAAATGCTGAACCACCCCGGCCCTTACCATTTCGGCCTGAAATTGGTGTTTATTCAAATTATCACAATATTTGCCCCTACGCCCCTTTCAAAGGGATATGGGGGTCAAGATCCATCTAATGGCATGTATGGACATTCATTGTGGGGAAACTAACCTATTAAAAAAAAAAATATTTTCCTTCAAAATGCTGAACCACCCCGGACCTTCTAATTTCGGCCCGAAAGTTGTGATAATTCAAATTTTTACAATATTTGCTCCTACGCCCCTTTCAAAGGGATATGGGGGTCAGGATCCATCTAATGGCATGTATGTACATATTGTGGGGAAACTAGCCTATTCAAAAAATATAATATTTTCCTCCAAAATGCTGAACCACCCCGGCCCTTACAATTTCGGCCTGAAATTGGTGTTTATTCAAATTATCACAATATTTGCCCCTACGCCCCTTTCAAAGGGATATGGGGGTCAAGATCCATCTAATGGCATGTATGGACATTCATTGTGGGGAAACTAACCTATTAAAAAAAATATATATTTTCCTCCAAAATGCTGAACCACCCCGGCCCTTACAATTTCGGCACGAAAGTTGTGATAATTCAAATTTTTACAATATTTGCCCCTTCGCCCCTTTCAAAGGGATATGGGGGTCAGGATCCATCTAATGGCATGTATGTACATTCATTGTGGGGAAACTAGCCTATTCAAAAAATATAATATTTTCCTCCAAAATGCTGAACCACCCCGGCCCTTACCATTTCGGCCTGAAATTGGTGTTTATTCAAATTATCACAATATTTGCCCCTACGCCCCTTTCAAAGGGATATGGGGGTCAAGATTCATCTAATGGCATGTATGGACATTCATTATGGGGAAACTAACCTATTAAAAAAAATATATATTTTCCTCCAAAATGCTGAACCACCCCGGACCTTACAATTTCGGCACGAAAGTTGTGATAATTCAAATTTTTACAATATTTGCCCCTTCGCCCCTTTCAAAGGGATATGGGGGTCAGGATCCATCTAATGGCATGTATGTACATATATTGTGGGGAAACTAGCCTATTAAAGAAAAAAATATTTTCCTCCAAAATGCTGAACCACCCCGGCCCTTACCATTTCGGCCTGAAATTGGTGTTTATTCAAATTATCACAATATTTGCCCCTACGCCCCTTTCAAAGGGATATGGGGGTCAGGGTCCATCTAATGGCATGTATGGACATTCATTGTGGGGAAACTAACCTATTAAAAAAAATATATATTTTCCTCCAAAATGCTGAACCACCCCGGACCTTCTAATTTCGGCCCGAAAGTTGTGATAATTCAAATTTTTACAATATTTGCCCCTACGCCCCTTTCAAAGGGATATGGGGGTCAGGATCCATCTAATGGCATGTTTGTACATTCATTGTGGGGAAACTAGCCTATTCAAAAAATATAATATTTTCCTCGAAAATGCTGAACCACCCCGGCCCTTACCATTTCGGCCTGAAATTGGTGTTTATTCAAATTATCACAATATTTGCCCCTTACGCCCCTTTCAAAGGGATATGGGGGTCAAGATCCATCTAATGGCATGTATGGACATTCATTGTGGGGAAACTAACCTATTAAAAAAAAAAATATTTTCCTCCAAAATGCTGAACCACCCCGGACCTTCTAATTTCGGCCCGAAAGTTGTGATAATTCAAATTTTTACAATATTTGCTCCTACGCCCCTTTCAAAGGGATATGGGGGTCAGGATCCATCTAATGGCATGTATGTACATATATTGTGGGGAAACTAGCCTATTCAAAAAATATAATATTTTCCTCCAAAATGCTGAACCACCCCGGCCCTTACAATTTCGGCCTGAAATTGGTGTTTATTCAAATTTGGCCCGAAAGTTGTGATAATTCAAATTTTTACAATATTTGCCCCTACGCCCCTTTCAAAGGGATATGGGGGTCAGGATCCATCTAATGGCATGTATGTTCATTCATTGTGGGGAAACTAACATATTAAAAAAAAAAATTTCGAATTCAAGTTCAATTGTAATCCATTAACAGATTCTCAGAATATTGTGATTACAAGCTATTTTTGCATACATAATGAGCCCATGACCTTTGACCTTATGAACCAAGAATCTACTCAGTTCATTGGCTCTGCAAGAAACATACATGACCTAAGTTGGCAGGAATCCATCAATCGGTTCTTGAGATAATGCGATCACGAGCTGTTTTTGCATACATAATGTGCCCTGTGGCCTTTGACCTTTGACCTTGTGACCCCTACATCTACTCAGTTCATCGACTCTGCAAGTAACATACATGACCTAAGTTTGGCAGCAATCCATCAATCGGTTCTTCAGATAACGCGATCACAAGCTCATTTTGCATACATAATGAGCCCTGTGGCCTTTGACCTTTGACCTCGTGACCTCAAAATCTCATCAGTTTTTCGGCTTTGCAAGTAACATACATGACCTAAGTTTGGCAGCAATCCATCAATCGGTTCTTCAGATAATGCGATCACGAGCTCGTTTTGCATACTTAATGAGCCCTGTGACCTTTGACCTTTGACCTCGTGACCCCAAAATCTAATCAGTTCATCGGCTCTACAAGATACATACATGACCAAAGTTTGGCAGGAATCCATCAACCAGTTCTTCAGATAACGCGATCACGAGCTCGTTTTGCATACATGATGAGCCCTGTGACCTTTGACCTTTGACCTCGTAACCCCAAAATCTAATCAGTTCATCGGCTCTACAAGATACATACATGACCAAAGTTTGGCAGGAATCCATCAACCAGTTCTCCAGATAACGCGATCACGAGAACGGGACGTACGTACGTACAGACGTACGTACGGACGTACGGACGTACGGACGGACGGACAACCCGAAAACATAATGCCTCCGGCTACTTTGTAACGGAGGCATAAAAATCTTTTTTTTAAATTAGAAAATGGAGGACTGTTTCAGAGAATCTACATCATGTAATGTAAAAGACAAAAGGATGCAAGTTTTGGAAATAGTCTGATATCGTCATACCTGTTTTTCTTTCTTCGTTTTCTCGGCCTGTTTCTTTATGTCTATCTGCTGAATCTATGAAAATTAACGAAGAAAAAGAATTGAAATACTTTTCATTCTATATACTTTCATAAAAAGGGAAAGCATTAGAGAACAGTACATCACTCAAACAACATTAATAGATTTTGAGAAAATATGCACCATTCATTCATTCAAACTATTGGTAAGTGAAGTTACATCTACGGTATATCATAAGGTATGTGTATGAATATAGATGGTGGTAATTGTATCAAACTTGGAATGTCCTATAACCAAAGGCACCAAACAAAATTATTGAAGAAAAAAAATCATACACATCAAAGAGGAAGATGGAACATCAGAGATCAACATCCCCTTCAATAGTGTAATTTTTCTTGCTTTGAAAAAATAGTATGGACACGTGGCATAAAGCCTCTTTAAAAATGATGCAGTGAAGTGCCTACAAAAAGATAAACACCACACCAAAATAAAATCACCATGCATAGCGTGTTTCGTATGTCTCTGTCTTATAGCACACAGACCAAAATGATTGTGTTCTTGGAGGCCCTTGTTTTGTGCGGCTTTTACTTTTCCACTCCTACATGAAATTGATTAACATGTAAAATCGTTAATAATTTGTCACAATGAATTTGCAGGTAGTTTCATAGCTTCACATGTGAATAAAGCTTTTTGTTGTCTGTTGAGAGCCGGAAGGGCATTAACTCTGTGTTAGTATGTGAGTTTACGACCTTCTGGCTCCTAACAGACGATATAATGATAATGGCAATACCCGCCGCGGCACTAATGTCCTTGGGCAAGACATTGATCTACATTTTCCACGCTCAACCCAGGTGATGTACGGTAAATGGGTACCTGGCAGGAATTAATTCTTTGAAATGCTAAAGCGCCGCAATGGCAGCACAGCTAAAGCGGGGGTAATAATCTCCAAGTTTGGAAGCGCTTAGTGATTCTAATAAGCGCTATATAAAAACTGAGTATTATTATTTTTATTATTACTACCTTTAGTAGGTCTTGTTGTGAGGCCATCTGGACATGTTTAGCATCCTTGTATTTGAGAGACATTTCAAACTCCTTCAGCTTTTCCTTTTCCTCCTTGTCTCTCTGCTTCTGCATTCTCTCCTAAAAAGAGACAAAAAAATCAGATGTTAATGATCCACATTCCCTTTTTTTTCTCCTCCTCTTTAATCATATTTTTTTCTTAATAATTTCTTTCATAACAGCTACGCTTTTTCTTCATCCCGTCACTTTTTTCGTTATCAAAATACATCAGCATTGTTTTACATTTCAATAAAATTACATATTTTCAGTGTAATCTTGCTCTTGGCAGTAATCTATCCCTTTCCTTTGTTTCCTCTTTTAATCCTTCACCTCGTTCCACTTTTTATTTTTCACTCCTTCATCTCCTCCTCTTCCTCCTGATGTATGATAAATGTGTGCCGTATCCTTCTCTTTTTTTTTCTTTCACCCTTTCTCTCTTCTCTCCTATTACTCCATCTACTTCCATTACCCATCAACTATTAGAAATACAGTCAAACCTGTCTATAGCGAACACCCAAGGGAAACACAAAAAGTGGTCTTTGTGGACAGGTGGTCTTTGTAGACAGGTTCATTTAGTACACGTTTCAAAGAGAAAACATTTTCAAGGAAAACAAAAAATTTGGTCTTTGTAGACAGGTGGTCACTAAAGCAGGTTTGACTGTACATGCCATACCCTTTTCTTCTGTCTATCCAGCTCTCTCTCCACCAGGTTCTTCCTTCTCTGTAACTCGTTCTCCATCCTGATCTTCTCCTCCTTCCTCCTCTCCTCGTCCCACACCTTACTGGCGACCCGTTGGTGTCTCAGCTCGTCCCTCTCTTGCTCTCTCTTGAACACCATGCAGTCCAATATTCTCTGATCCTGTCAATGACATGGGTTTTGATCGATACAAGATGATTTTATACAGCACAGCGACTATACAAATATACTCTGTTGTTCTTCCCTCAAGGAACACAAAAAAGTGGCCACTGTAGGTAGGTGGCCTACCAGAAAAAGTTCTACCACACACATTTTTTTCTCAAAGGAAATGAAATACCAGGCCACTATAGACTATATTAACCAAATAGTGGGATATTTTGGGAACAAGACCAATATTTCTCAGGATATTTTCTCGATCAAATATCCCACTAATTGCAACTGCGGGATGATGAAGACGCATATCAACTGGCTAATTTGTGATTGGGATAGTTAAAATAGCGGGTTTGATATATGGCAAGCTCGAGCTGATGAAGACAGGCCTATCGACATCAAGTTTTAGCTCAAAAACAATAAACAAGTCTGGATTTCTTACTCTCTCTGGCAGGTTAGCACTGTAGGGTCTTGACCGAGATGACGACCTGGATGGTCTCTCAGAACCATCCAGAACCAATCTTTGGCTTAACGGCGTTCGACTTGATGACCGGTGACTCGACCCGCTCGAGACAGCCGACTGAGGGCGCTGCCTCGACGTCGGAGGCATGGACGCTGACCTCTTCAAGAGCCTCGGAGGAAGATCCCCAGGGTTAGGGTTCCTTCGACCTCCCGTGGATGATGGGGTCGTGCCCGAGCTCCTTGTCTTGCTGGACGGTGTCCTAGGAGAGGAGGTCGATGGTGTCCTAGGTGAGGAGGTCGATGATGTCTTTGAGGTTGCTGAGGATCTGGAATGTGGAGGTCGAGTCGGGGGATGACTTGGTGGTCGAGGACTCGCCCCGGGTCTGAGGTTGGAGTTTCCCTGGCCTGATTTAGGAATGATCACTCGACTGTGATCTAGGTAGAGACGGAGGAGTGAAAATGAAGAAGAGTGTCTCAGTGATGTCCTTAGCATCAAGTTCAATGGAGGATGCAAAATAATAGTAGCTCAAAGGAAAAAGCTGTCAATGCATATTTACATTGATTACAATGTACATCACATTACAAGTAGATGTGACCATTGGAATCAACTCCTCGATTTCGAATCAACCTTGTGCCATCTATCAAATGCTAGAGTCTCACAGGACTATCTTTATCACAAGGATAATCAATTTGGGTCAAGAAAACTGAAGGAAATAAGTCAACAAAAATGCACTGGTAGTAGGCCTTTATGGAGGCAATGATAAGGACCTTAAATACTGCATTTCAGCTCAAGGCAGAAATATTTGTTAGGAATGACCAAATTTAAAGATGGACATTTCAAAGGTATCCTGGCATTTAACATGGCAACTCTTTTTCTAAGATGATGACGTGGATCCTAATCAAATGATTGATTGAGAGCGTACACGTGACCAGGCATTTATTTTGCCTAACACGTAATTTTGATAATGACCGGTTATTACTGAAATCATGTTATACAGTAGGCTTGCAGGTGCACCATGTGAGAGAGAGGGAGGATTGAAGAAAAAAATCATGTTTAAGAAACAATCTTATAAAACAAATAATACACATCATTTTGTTCTGGCATAAGTAAAATTACCCACACTCGGTACCTTCAAAACAGTCCATTCGTACTAATGCTCTCACTGTTGAGTATTATTTGTATAATTTTCACCAGAACATTGAGGGAACATTTAACAATGATGTATTAATTACAAACACATCTCTATGGCATATTACCTATTCCATTGGCAGTGTGTTTAAGTGTTCTTTCAGGTGGTTTGTTCATTCCTTGGAAAAGCAGCTTGGCGTTGTCGATGACTTCGATCCTCTCGTCGCCTCCATCCTCTTGAATGATCTCCTCTCGAGCTCGTCTGCACATGTAGAGCTTTCCTGGAAAGACAGAATTACAAGCATTTTTATCAAAAAGTCGAATGTCAAGGCAAATATCGTTGTTGTTGATACTGATATGCTAGCTTGTCATGAAAGACTACTAACAGAACTGTAAACTTCATGACACAGAATTTGACAAAAAGAAAAGCGCAAGATACGTAACAGGTTGTGCTAAATTACCCCTGACTGACATGCTTCATCAGATCGACTAGCAAGGCAGGCATACCTTAGTATTAACAATCAAAGTCCGACTTAGACTGAGTAGGAAGCTAACAGATCTTTCCTTGCATTTTTAAAGGTCATATATAGGTGACTGAAAACATTATCTCTTGGATGAGGACATATTGCCATCTCAGTAATATCACACCTGATCATAATAGAACAGGCAAACATGCGATATCACGCAACCCTACTTAACCTGTTGACTATTGAATTGTTTAATTCCCATACGCTTAATACAAGAGCTACCCGGTTCCAGGAGTCAATGAGTTTATAATAAACTTAATATCCTATTGTGTCCATACTTAATCTCGCTCGTTCATGAGCATCATAGAGCTTCCTGGATGCTTCCCCTGGCTGCTGTCCAGATGTTAACAGCTCCTCCTCAAAATCTGTCTCAGGTTTGGCCAACAGTTCCACAGGCTGATGGTGTCAGAAAGAAATGCATAGAAATTTGCATAAGAAGCAAGAGGTAGTGGCCCCTATGCATACTTATTTACTGTAATCTTTATTTAAATCTTTGTTTTTTTCTGAAGAAAATATGTCATTTTACTTGTTCCCTACTCCCTAGATATATTTTTGGACAGATTTTTGTACACACACCCTCTACAAAAAAGATCCATTTCTTCATCATTCATCAACCACAAAATTGGAGAAATTGTGAAAATTTTCATTACAAAGCTAATTAATGCGCCCATGGGCTGGCACAGAAAGGGTCAATAATTGTAAACCTATCTAGAGATCGATGTGAGGGTTGCTATTACCTGTATCTTCATTCTTGCACACGCCCGCAGGGATCGCGGACTGGTGAGTATGTACGATGACTCCTCGGCCGCACAGCCCTCAAAGTTATACAGATCTATCTTTTTCTCCATGAGAGAGGATCGCCAGTCTTCAATCGGCAGGTCAGCGTGGTGATCCCTCGAGTAGTCCATGGTCCCTCTGTTGATTGGACGAGGAGCAGGACCTGTATAAAGAGGAGATTAAGAAATTTAAATATCCTCAAAATAAAACACGGTCTCCTGAAAGTGTATTTCACTCCATAAAAGGTACTATTTGATTATGTCTTAATCATCTACTAGTGCATCATAATGCAATCATCTTTTTCAAAATTTTGGACAACATAATGTTTAGTTTGAAAACAATGAGTATCCCTTTTTATGTTTGAGGAGATGCGACCCATCTTTGGTTTACCCTCTTTTCTCATTTTTTTTTTTCTTGTATCTAATGAACATCTGCCATGGAAAACATGGCACAAGAAACTTACCATATTACATTCAAATTTTAACATGGGCAGAAATGTAATTTTGTGTCATTGTTTTCTTAGAGACCTCACAGCTACTTTACTCAAAATTGATGTAGCACACGGGTCAAATAATGAATACTCTTACCATATCATGAACAGCAGTTACCTGTCTTATCTTTGTTATGATTATGTTCTGTAGGCTTATCTATTTTTTACAATGCTGTCTCTTTGCAATGACTGAATTATCACAATTGTTCATACAAAATACTTTGTTTCACACACAACCATTTACATGTACATGCAGCAGACATATTCATGTGATGTTGCCAAATTTACAATTGACATTACAGATGTCAAACCCATGCAATTCAAACTGTTGTTAGAAACTAATACTTCAAATCACTATGTTAATAGTTAATACACACAGTCTGCTACATATATTGATAAGAATCTCATAAGTGATATTTATGCAAAAGGTAGAAGATATATGTCTCATGATGAATTGTCAAACTATTAATAATAACAGTCGGAGGCACGGTGGCTCAGTGGTAGAGCAGTGGCCTCGTAACCGTATTTAAAAATGAATGAAACATTTCTTTACTTTTACTTTATTTTTATTTTTCAATACCTGGATCCCTGGTTCCTCAAGACTGCACTTGTTTTTCAGATCCTTGTCTTTAAACAGTTTTGATGTTATCCTTCCTCCAATCCTCTGCATTCTAAAACTCACATTCTTGATGGGTGGATTTCATTAGATATCTGCCTAATGCTTCCAAAATAATTATATTGAGTGTGCAGCAGCCGCCCCCCCCCCCCCACCACCAAAAACAAGAAAAAATTATGACCCTTACTTAATTTTCAATTTACACTTCATCTAGCTTAACTGCCAAACTGTTTCCAAGGCCGCTGTATTTTTTTGTTAGTTTATTTGTTTTGGGTGGGGGGGGGGTGGGGACTGGGGGGGTGGGGTCTTCTTTGGGGGGAGGGCATTGGGGAGGGAGGTAATTGTAATATTTGGTAAATATTTCACTCCAGTCCAGGTCACTACCTCTATTGAATTCAAATAGTTCATCAGCTTTAAGATTCGGGACCATCATCCCAGTTGATGCCATGCTGTTGAATGGAGAGAAAAAACTCACATACTGATACTATCCAGGCCAAATTAATTAGATAAATAATTTGTGTTTTTTTAAATAAAAGTCACTCATAGAGCTTCATATTCAACCATTCAAAATCTGAAGAATTGGACAGACAATTATGATTCAATTCATAGAAGAAGGTAAAATATGGTATAGATACTTTGCAGAGCTACCAAGTGTCACGCATTAGGCGTGACATCACGCACTTCGAGGGTCTGGAAATGCTCTCGCGCACAGCGCGCACGCTAGATTAAAAAAAAACGCTATACCTTATACGTGTGTTATACCTCGCATGCTCGCTCGTGCGGCGAAAAATGAAAATGTCACGTATTGGCGATCTTTGAACTTGGCGTCTCTGACTTTGGCTTCGAAGGTCGAAGGTGAACACCAAATATCCTGACAAACCTTATGTTATGATACACAGGCAGGATTTGCGAAACATGTCCAAATATATTTTCAAATAAGATCTGGTTCAATTTTGCAGCTGATGTGTAGACTGCTGTAGACTGTAGCCTGTGAGCTGTGGTCAATACGCATTAGCATTGACCAACTAGACCTACATGTATGTGTTGTCAGTGGTGTGGCCTTGGCTTTGGCTGAGCTAAAAATTAAAAGTAAATGATGTCTCTTTCTCTGATATTTGATATCATCAACGAACAATACTTCTGCATGACACACTAACATTTCTTCTCTTCATTAAACCAATGATTACACTGAAGGATAATGGGTAGACTCTTGAATGTGGTTCTAAAGAAAATCACTTTAATCAAACCATAACAACAATACTAACAGGAACATACACAAAACAACACATATGGGACTGTACAGTAATTCAGCCACACAAAATATATGGCGGACGTTTGCGATTGGAGGATGCGGCTGCAGCGAGAGCGAGAGAGATGAAGATGGGAGAAGACTTTGCATCTATCCAGCGTAATTATTTCACGACACTATAATCACAAATTCATAAAATACAAACAAATTTAAATGAAATCATAATATCAGCATAAATATTAAGCTTACTCTCAAAATTCAAGGGTTTCTGCGATGGCATTCACAGGTGTTTTTCCAAAGATGCGACAAGACGTCACGACAACTCGCTAGCTCGGGAATCAAGAATGCGTTGATGGATGAGATGCTATATGAAGCTGATGACGTGATTAAAGATGCAGGCTCTGGATGCAGCCGGTTGAAAAGAGCATCTGGGAGCCTTCATGCCTCGACTGTCAAAATACATTAGCCAAACAGTGTACATCGAAAATGTCAATATCTAGCGTGGATTGTGGTGGGATTACCTTGTACAAGATATTTGCATGTCTGCATCTTTGGGGTGTTATATTTCAGAGTCATACGTGACCTTCAAACGCTGTTTCATGTAGCTCTCGGGACCCTGTTTGTTTTTTAGACTGCAAATGATTTATCGCTTGCTTTAATAACGTACATAAATGTCGTTTATATTCTATCAATCATTTTCTTTTTAACGGATACAGCAATGCACCCCCCCCCCCCCCTCTATCTCTCTCTCTCTCTCTCTCTCTCTCTCTCTCTCTCTCTCTCTCTCTCTCTCTCTCTCTCTCTCTCTCTCTCCCTTCTCTCTCCAGCTCATCTTAGATCCTTCCCTGCCCTTCTTCCATCCCTTCCATTCCTTCCCATCTCCTCACTTCTCGGGACCCTCCTATTCTTGGCTCTCCTCTCCTCTTCCTTATCCTCCCTCCAACCCTCCTCCTCCCTCCCTTCCTCTATTTAATCTCATTACCTCAGTGAGATAAATTATATAAGCAATAATACTGCTTTTAGCAAGAGTCTTTTATGTTTGTTTGTTTTTATTACAGTTTTATTAATTTAATTTTAAATTAATATTAAATTAATTTGTTTTGTCATACCTTTTACATTATATTTGTCAATTTTTTTATTTTCATTTAATTGCCATTTGTATGAATATAGCATTGAACTTGCACCGTAATAAGAACATGTAAAATTTAGTCTGTGACTACAAGTCATGTTTTAATAAACCTCGACTGAGTTGAATTGAATTGAATTTGTTTCTCTACCAATCAACCTACACTATCCAACACCTTTATTAGTTTGTGTGTTGCAGCTATTTCGCACAATCCAAGCCCTTTTTGGAGGGGAGGGGTGGTCATGTTTTATTATCCAAAGCACTGTAAGAACATTATTTTGATGTGAGGTTTCATCTCGTAAAAGAAATTATGGTTATGTCCATGCATGTTCATAACTAAATAAGTCTTCACTTCCTCCATCCTGTTCTCCCTTTCTTTTTCCCAATCCTTTTCCCTCCGCCCCTCTCTCTCTCTCTCTCTCTCTCTCTCTCTCTCTCTCTCTCTCTCTCTCTCTCTCTCTATCTATCTCTCTTCCTTCTCTCTTGTGCATTAGCAACACATGCATTACTCCCAACACAAAATAATACATAGCCAAACTCCAAATGACGTCACACTCATAGCATTGCTTTTTATTTTGAAACACATTTAACAAATAATTTTCTTTTCTCATTTTAAACCAGATATAAAGCTTTTTTTTCTCGTAAGACAGATGGATCACAAATTACAAAAAAAAAGGACTACATTTCCCTGTGACTTATCTATATCAAATACAAACAATGTAGTTTTAGTATAATAATATGAGCACTATAAAATGAATGGATGGGGCTGTACAGTCAGCAGTATATGGGTTATGACCAAAACGTATAGGTCAGAGTAAACATTAAGGCCCATATTCTATAAGAAACCTTAAAAAGATACTGGGTGAAATGCACATGGTCTAACATTCAGTTCAACAAAGGATGTTAGACTGCGGTCTATTTGTTCTCTCTGTTTCACATTTTAAGTCTTGCTTCAGATTCTAAGAAATTGGTTTTTAAACAAGGGCCTATTTTTCATTTTATTCATAATTTCCTGTGATAATTAATTCACCAACTGTGTTAAAGTTTGTTCTTCTTGATAAATTTATTTCATTACTCTGTGCCCAAAGGAGTGGATGATTATTAATTCATTTTGAAAAAGAAAAAAATGCAAGATTTCAGGGTGTGGCATTTTGATCTCTGAACTGATTATGAAATGAAAGATAATTTTTCTTTTTTTAATACTTAAAATATGATTTTGTGAGCACATTCCAAAGCCTAGGGGATCTTACAGGGAGGGGGGCCAAAAGTATTGTAATAGAAATCACAATGAATTTATCATGGCTATGTATGGGGATATGCAATTTCACTTTCCACATTACAAAAATAAATCTCTACTTCACTCGACCAACATCTACACGATAATCTCCTGAAATTACAATGCTTAAATGTTCTGCGATGCTGATGAAAAGATCTACACAAGTTGGTGCTTTACATAAACTGCAACATAACAGAATGAGCAAACCGACATTGAAATTGCCTGTATTTTGTACTTTCCAGCTTATTGGACAGAAGTCGTAATAATGGACTTCCTAGCTTAACACCGCTCTGCTACATTCAAATAAAAAGTAATTAAAAAGAAAGAACTAAAAATGAATACCATTTGGTTGTGAGGAGAACATAGGAGGGACAGTCAATGTCGGTGCAATACACGTAATATATATAAATCTTGTTTTTTAAACATTCAATTGATATCAATTCTATTAACTTTGGTAATCATGTTAAACAGAGATAGCCAGGGCTGTCATAAGAATCATATCAAACACACCTTACGAAGTGTAATATCTAAAAACTACTTTTTTCACATAGAAAGTGACTGGCGTGTCTCTCAATGGCTTGTTCAGATACTGCGCGTTTAACTGCCGCAAATTAGCTGCTGCGTTTTTTAAAACGTGTAAATGAATGGCACCAGCGCACAACAAAGACTTGTGCGTATTCATCAAGCTCTGTGTTATAAGATACAGATTTGTGGAGCATATTATTATACTTTACGTCATTATAAAAACGCGTTTTTGCCACGTCATATATCAGAACGAGCCTTGACACTTAATTCCAAGCCTTCCAACTGATGATTACATTTTAAACCCTTTTGTAATTAGCAAACAGTTGGTTTTGATGAAAGCTTCTCTCAATATATCTACATGGAATTAACTTTTTTTTTATCCGACTTATAACTGTTGTGGACAAGATCTGATACAAAATATGATTTGGGAAGAAAATTAGAATCTCCGTCTTTCTCAAACATGTACCGGTATATGTGCTTAGAGGAAGAAGTACGCCAACACACGAGATAGTTTCCACAAAAAGTGACAATGTATGAAGTACAGGTCCTTAAGAGATCATGGCTGAGCTCTGTCTTTCATCAAGTAGATGTAGAAGACAGACCAATAATAAGACTTAACATTCTCAATTCAGTTTCTCGTTAAGCTCTTTTCCAAAAGCAAAAATCTAAGGAACTCTCAATATATATAACATACAAAAACATTTCATTTTACGAAAACTTCAATAATTTAAAACGCAGCCTGATAAATCAGTTCCGTCTGACACAATGCATTTTCTTTCCTCAATAGCTAAATTTAAATGCAGCCCCCCAAATTACTTAACAGGAGGCTGCATCTCAAAAAAAGCAATAACAAAATATACATGTAACTAGTATTAAATGATTTTGAGTAAATAACTTGTTCGTCTACTTTCATGTAAGAATTGCCTCATACTGAATAGACATTTCATAAGTTGATAATTGCCATTAGAGTCCGATTAGACAATACAACTACTTGTAATTTGTTACCATTTCAATTTTTTTTTTTTTTTACTTATCTACAGTTTAGACTGCTACAATCAACACATCATCTGAGTATCCTATGAAATCATCTTACAAATACCAACGCAGTTACATGTATCCACTCTCCAAAAAGACATCTTCAAAGAAAACAGGAGTGCATCCAAGTCAGATAATTAGACCATTCGCCAATAAGATAACATTTGCTAGTATTGTCACTGTTTGTTTTCAGTTTATGTATAATGTCTTCCTAGTCCGTGTATGGAATCATATATGGGGGAAGAAAAAATACAAATCTTACCTCGATTGATAACCCGACATACAACAACAACAACCAAAGTTTATAGTGTATTAGAAAATTGCAAATACATTTACTAATCCTATCAACCTCCTATTTTTAACTATCATAAAATAATACAAATTGCATTATAGTAAGAAGTTTTCAAGCAACTATATTTCCCTGTCTTTTTCTCTAAATTTCACCTTGGAAACAATGGTCCTTTTTTTTTAATCAAAGGGAAATGAAAGAATAGACTACAGAATTTATTTTTTTTAATCAAAAATCAAATTATGTTCTGGTATTTTTAAGTAGTTTACAGGGTAGCGTAGATGAAAATGTTTTTTAAAGAAATGAAGAATAAAAGAAAAATTGAAAAAAAAGCAACACACAGGAATGACCTTTGTGTGAAACAAAAGTTTGGACTTTGGAAATTAGTATGAGACCAAAAGTACATGTCTTGAAAATGACCTTTTCGTAGTGGTATTCTTGCACATCACATGGAGTTGGGAAATGGCCCTTTTCATCTGTACCTATTTCTTTGAAGGAAAAAACAAGAAATTAAACTAAACCAAAAGCCGCCCATCTTGAAAATCTATCTATCACTAAAGAAAAGAATGAATGGAGATTCCATCTGTTAAGAGCCAGAAGGGCTTTAGACACTGTATTGAAGGATATGGGTTTGCGCCCTCTGACTTCCAGTAGAGAACATGTAGGTGAGTAAGCTAATCTCCACCCTCGTCTACATCCCATCTCTACGAAAACTTGAACATCAGTGGAGAACCACTTCATGGATACAACTTTAATTCCTCTATCGAAGCTATGTGTCCCATGTGCTGATTATCTCACTGCCCTATTCGAAGTGAGCTGCACATGTAATCTTAATGCAGAGCTCTACACTAACTTTTTTACTCACGGGGTCTGGAGTGAAAATTCTAGAGTCTGTATGCATGCCCTAACACATCGTTTCTATCATTTTTACGGGTCTAGACGTAAACTTATGGGGCCCATGTGCGTCCGGTCCCTGTTTGTGTGGAGCCCTGCAAATGGTACGCCATCATAATACAAATTCCATATCATTAACGTTATATGTTATCAAATCTTAATTCAGAGTCGTGGACTACACATTTGGTTATAAGCAGGCCTGTATCAGACAGATTCACAACAGCGCGGCAGGGAGACGATCGTATTTTCAATACAGGTTACGCCTCCCTCGGCACGAGCCATGAGGTTCATGCCAGGTAAAAGGCGTTATCGCTATTGGGAGTATGTACTTGCCAGTTAGGTTCTATCCTTTTCTCATGGCTTCTACCCCTTCTTAGAGGTAAACATGGAAGTAACACATACAACATCCATTAAAATTTTATTTTCGTTGGAAAAGCATATTATCCTACTTATAGGGATACCAAGTTATATGAGGCCTTAAAAAGATTTTTGAAAATTCCACCGGAAATCCATATCTTGAAATGGTTCGATCAACAGCCAAACAGCAAGATTTTGAGCAGCATATGATGGAAAAATGGTATACAAATAAGTAGCATACTTGAAAACATACATAAAAAAAAAGTCAGATTTGTTGATCTGAACTTACAGAGATCCACCGTCTGCATCTTTGGCTATCGCAGAGATTAACACTTTTCAAACAATTTCGGAACAAAACACCCAGAAAGATTAAAACCTACAAAAGAGGAGGCCATGAGAAAAGGCAGAACGCAGACTAGGGTACATTCTTACACCGGATACATCGGTCATCCCACTGTAAGAGGACTATTTCCACTGCCATTCCCAGCACAATGGATATGGTGTTTAAGATGAGGTTGATTGGGACTTGGGGGAAATTCTGAAGTCTACAAGAAGTAGTCTGGAGTGCGCCGCGTGACGTGGGGCTCTCCCCTTCTTGGAGCAGGATCAAATTGCAAGCTGAAAAGAAAAAGAAAGAAAGAAATACATAAATCCTGTAACTTACTTGCTACTTATACTACATTTTTCCAAGTCGACATGCACTTACATGTATGAAAGGGTATTGTTTTTTAAGCATGCAATACAAAAAGGAGGTCCTTCTAAATCTCTTTCAAAAAGTGCTAGGTTGTAGAGTTTCATGAATCTATAACATCATTAGCAGGCCCCTGTTGGTCTGTAGCTCAATCTATTAATAAATCTCTCCATTCATTTGTCATAAATAGATCAAGATATATAATGAATAGAGGGTGTCTTTGTGCTGTTGCTTGGTTGGGCAAATACGACCTCAGTAAAAAAAAAAAAAATTAACAATGAAAAAAGGGGTAATTTGTAGAGTTTCAAGAATGTATAACATCGTTTGCAAGCCCCTGTTGGTATCTAGCGTATCTATTGATAAATCTCTCCATTCATTGGTCATAAATACATGTAGATCAAGATACATAATGAATAGAGGGTTTCTTTGTGTTTTTGCTTGGTCAGCAAATAAGAAATTCTGCCTCAGTAAAAAAAAAAATCCCCCCCCCCCCCTGCATGGTTATTGCACAAAGGGTGTTACATAATAAAAAGGAATGAACTCCTTGAATGCTGTGAGCGTCGAAATCGCAGAGCCGGGTTAATAGTTGGAGCGTCATGAGCAGTGCACTATGCATGGTGGATATGTGCGCTATATAAATATCCCATATTATTATTATTATTATAATAGAGCAAGAACCCTGCTGCAACAGCGTCGTATAAGGTAGAAATACTCACAAGGAATACTTCAAAGCATCGTCCAATTCCATAATGGCTGCTTGATTACCACATCGGTAGCAGTAGTTAGGGGCACTGAAAATGGTCACTACGTTCCTATCATGACACCAGTTGTAGCCCTGTAAAAAAAAAGAGGTAAAAGCAATCGCAACATTATAAATTAATACTGTGGTTGAGCATCTTCATATACCAAAAATATCATACATCAGATTCTTTAATCTAGTGCATAGGAAGGGTTTTTTTTCTTCTGCTCTTTTTAAAGAAAAATTAGATTATAGATTTTTCTGACAAAATAAATGACTTGAGGCGCTACAATAATTAGTTGCACAAACAAAACTTAATACAGTATCGGCTATACAACAAATTCACAGCTTCAGGAATAATAACATTACATACACGTTGTAATACAACATACACACATTTCTAAAATTATATTTCTAAATGTATTTATTTTATTATTAATCGCTGCAGCAAAATACAACAAACAGATATAGAAGGGGCCTTCTTATGCACAATAATTTATCTTTACTATTGCCATGACAGGGTTTCCTTTTTTTTTTAGGTGGTTAACCACATCAAATGCAAATGAGGCCTTTGGAACAAAAGGTCTATAGACTTGATGGACTACTTGAGAACTTACTTCCATGACAAGCTGATGAGCCCGAGAGATGAGAGTGAGTCCGTTGCTGTGGTTGAATGTCTCGGAGATGTCCTGACCGAAGGTGTAGCCGGCTCCACGGGGGGAGATGCCCCAGCCACCCCTGTCGTCGGGATCAGACCACAGGAGGTCACACATAGGTCCCTGGTGGAGGAAGGAGGAGGAAGAAAGATGTGATTAGGATCTTACATCCAATTCATGGTTATAGTCTGCTTGTGAGCAGACAACAGCCATACATGTAAGTACCGCCTTGTGAATTAAAATGTGATATCCAGACACAGGCATACTGGATGCATGCTCATTTAAGTAACATAATTATCATTTAATATGGACAAGCAATGAACTTTATGATACAAGAATGTTTGTTTCAAAATCATACAGACAAAGACTATTTTAAATGTTAAGTTACTAAAAAAAGAATTCTGGAAATCTCAAAGAGCTCCTACACAACATGTAATTGCTCTCGAAATCTGACAGTTCTTGGTGGGGACCAACATGAGGTTACATGATATACAGAAGATTGCAACTAAATACGTAGTAATTCTGTATTGTATCACTACTTACTTCATGTGGTACTTCTTGGATACGGTCGAGAGCACGAATGTGATCTAGTGTGTCGATAGAAGGTGATAGTCCACCATGGAGACAGAAAATCTGGATGACAAAAAGAAAAGAAAAAGTAATACAATACGTTTGCTTGTGTTGCACATAATAATAATACTCAGTTTTTATATAGCGCTTATTGAAATCACTAAGCACTTCCAAACTTTGAGATTATTACCCAGGCTTTAGCTGTAACTCTTAATAACACACCAGGAAATAAACTTCATTTTAAGAGAAGAAAATGCATAGATATTAGAGGAACACGTTAAAGAAAGTAATATTATAAAATAAATGATCAAATTTTATGTTTTTTTACTTGTTAAAGGTACAATGTCCCATTTGCAGGCCAAAAAAATGAAAAAGTTAAATTCCAACTGCATTTGAAAGATAATACTAATTTAGAACTTCCCTAAAAAAGGTGGGGCTTGAAAATGTCTTTAATTGGGAAAATAATGACTATTAGTTGTCAAATCGACTTTAGGGCTATAGAGCCCAAAAGTAATAGTCTTGATTTTCAGACAATTGTACCGAATGGTCATACGTTTTATGTTGCGCAAAGACTCAATCAGTTTAATCTTGGCCACCACAAGAAGTGGGTTATTGATGTAGACAAATGCTCATGTACCCTTTACAACTCTTTTCATATATATGTTATTACCAAAGAAGAAAAAAGCCAGTCAGTCACTCAATAGTGTCTGACAGTGAAGTCTAGCAAGTAAACGGGTTTCCTTGCATAATTTGAATATGAGGACACTGCTAACGTTTAAATTTCACAGATAGGACATACATGACATGTTCATAATTCCTGCAAAGTTCTACAGCATTTGAGGTTGGCTGCAAAAGGGACATAGTATCTTTAAGAAATTGTACATGTAAGTTGAAAATTATAAGGGCTAATATGTAAAGGCAATAATTGAGCTTTAGCAGATGTGGATTAACTATCGAGGTGCATTGGGAAATATATAATATACACTGATAAGGTCATTAAATACCGGTAGTAATTACTGCATAACCTTAAATAATTTTGGACAACAGACTTTTAAGAATTTCACAAGTGGGCCAGATACATGAATGTCTGTGAAGATTTCTGGACTGACAATGTCCATAAAAAAATAATGATTCACAAAAAAAAAGTTTTAGTTTCCTGTAAAAGCATGCGGCCCTCTAACATTAACATACAACAATGGAACTTGGAATCCAGAAGTTCGTTCAAATTAATGTCATTGTTGTGTGATATATTTAGAGGGCATTGTTCAGAGCAATTTGCAATAAAGATAACAGTCCGTACTCTAATTAAACTTTGAGTCATGAGTTTATCAGTTACTGGAATAGGCACTTTGGACTCTAGGTCACCATAAAGAGTCTAAAAATAGAGTATGACGCCTGTATAATATGTAGTAAAGGCTATTGCGCAAGGTAAACAATGACACAAATTAAATTATCATACAATGAATGAACTACGCAATTGAGTAAATAAACACTACAGCCATGGCTGGACACTGACAGGCACCCAAGACACATGGGTACCCAAAATCTAAGTCTGGACCCCAAAAATTTCAAGAAAATTGCATACATGTACATTGTAGGGCTCATGCAAATAGACTGTAAAAAGTTAAATTTGGACCCAATGTCAAAAAAATGAGTATGGAACCTTGCTGTAGCGAGTTTTAAGAAGATCAGATTGTTTATTCTTACAATAAACTGCAAATTTTTTAGGATAAATACAATAACTAAATTCACACTCAATTACAGAAACTGCTGAAAGCATGAATGCGAAATCATAGAAATGATGAAGAAAAAAAATCACATTTACTGATAAACATGAATATGTAGAACTCAATGAAGTCAAGCACTTTCCACAAAATGGAAAAAAGAACTTGCAAAGAGATATTTCATAATATCGGTATAAATCTGCACACATTCTGCAGCTTAAGTAAACTACATGTAGGGTCTATAAATTACAAAATATTTCTCTCACCTGTCCATCTACCAGTGCTGTTAATGGCAGATAGTCAAACAGATCTGTGAAGTACTTCCAAACATTAGCATTACCATACTTTCGTAGACATTCATCGTAGAAGCCATAGACTTGTGTGATTTGCCTGCTTTCATGGTTCCCTCTCAGGATGGTTATTCGTTCCCGGTACCTAACCTGTGGAGTTGGGGTGAACAATGGAAAGGCGTTAACTATAAATGTACATTAATTACATGCTTCTATTTCCATGTCAGCTCAGAACTTTGATTATTCTATAAAAGAAAGCATCCCCATTTGTGTTTGTCTGTGTGCACATGTATATGTAGGTGTATGTGGGCAGGTGTATGTGGGTGTGTGTGTTATACCAGGGTGTGTACATGTACATGTACATTAGGCTTAGTGTACATGTAGGATAACACTTTACTTTTAATATTGCAATTTAGATTAAACCTTTAGCACAGGGTATATTACATGTAAAATGACTTTCTGCTTTTGACCAACCACCCCCCCCCCCCCCCCCAAAGAAAAAAAATTATAATAATATTAAGTTCCCTGTCCCTTTTGATAAGTAAGACAAACGACAACCTACAGGTATGAGTAAAATGGCCCTGAATATCCCTTTAGCACAGCTGTAATTTTTTTCTCTCTCCTTTTAAATGTATTTTTTTATTTTCAGGGAGGTGGGGGTAGACATGTAATTCGCTTTCCTGGGAAAAAATCTCTTAGTGAATGATCAAAGAAAGAAAACTACTTTGCCTTCATACTATCAGCTATATTGTAGTTTTTCCCTTTTCCTCGTTCCTCAAATTACAAAAAGAAATGCTTTTTGGATATGACTACATGTAGAGAATCAAGAGACCCCAGTACAATGGTACAGGAAGTTTGATATTAGTCATGCACAATTCAAACGTGAGGGATTTAAATCAAGAACATGTTTGGAAACCTAGCTAACATACTCACGTGTCTGTCTGAGATCAGTCTCAACTATCTGTTGTTAAAATTCTATTTAGAAATGTATTGCAATGTCAGTTTTCCACAGCCTTCAATACAACCTACAGTGCTCACTTTGTGGCATTAAAATGTAACCTACCGTACTTAAAACTGAAGAAATATAACACTTATCTTCTTGCACAGAACAGTAACAGTCTAATACATGTACATGTAATTCACTTTGAAATGAAATGAAAAGAAAAGACATTGGAACAGTGTTGTAAGCTGGCCAAAAGCATAAAATAAATCTTGGCACACTATGCCTTATTATCATTCATCTCCCCCATTCCAAAAATATTGAACCCCCCCCCCCCAAGAAACCCTCTTAACAATAGTGCAAGTACAGACACAAGGATAACAGATAGATTCACCTACATGTACATGTACATGTACAGTGTATGTACATGTACATTTTCTTAGCCTGAAAAGAAACTGACATGTTGCAGTCCCACACATATATGTGTCAAACAATATGAAACTTGAAAGACCTTGAAATGGGGTAAATTAAAACTTGCGTCCCTGCAGACAATACGTGTACGTACCTTCAAACAAACCAGAAGCGTTACAGTTTCCACCGAATAGTAACCCCTGTCTACGTAGTCGCCCATGAAAAGGTAATTTGTGTTTGGGGAGCGTCCTCCTATACGGAAGAGTTCCATGAGGTCGTGGAACTGACCGTGGACATCACCGCAGACTGTGACCGGGCATTTAACCTCTTGTACGTTGGATTCCTTGGTCAGGATTTCTTTGGCCTGTATTAAAAAGACGGAACAAAAAGTAAAATGAAAATGAAGAGATACTTAAACTAAAGAGGACAGAGGTATTATTTGACTCTTTCCAAGTACCGGTACATGTAAAATGAATGGCAAGTGGGGATGAAAACAAAAAGTAGCTGCATGCCAAAAACGTCCTACGCCTACACACTTATCTGTGTGTTACAAGATACACAAATGTGAAGCGCAGTAAACTTTTTTTTAATAGTTGAAAAATTATGGTACTGTACTATATAAACGGTTTACTGCAGAATATAAGCCTTAATACTTCAGTATGAAAAATGCAAACTGCTTCTTCTCCCATCCAATCATGGGGCTACTTTATTAATACATTTTGCAGTTCATACATGTTCATGTACTGTACATGTAGTACATGTACATACAAGTTCATCCTCACTTAATGTATTTCTTTTATTTTAATTCTTATCGCAGTAAAAAATCTCAAATCAAACAAAATCAGTTTGGAACTTGGAACTTTAATGAATTTGAAGACAGCTTTCATTTGTATGTATACATGTAGCAATAACAAAAATATTGATCTGAAAAATATATCTTATGGTCAGCTGGAGGTAGACTCTGTATATCATTACACATGTACATTACTTCATGCATGTACATGTAATTCATATTTCACTTACAGTATGTTAGGCAACTATCTGTAGTATGGAGCATCAAATTCACAGCAATTTTATATTTAAACAAAAAAAAAATCCCCACGGTCAACATGATCGTTTTCAAAATTCTTTAATTCCAAATTGTAAAGCAATGCATCATAAGATATTTACAAGTACATGTACATGTACATTGTACATTGTTGGAATTTTTGTGGTATAATTTTTTGTATTAATATTTCAACTGACACTTTACGCATGTACACTGTACATGTAGTAGTTGAAATAATTGGGTTATTCAAAAACTACATCATGCATACATGTACACCCCTTCAGGGTTTTAGGCCACCATTCTAATTTGCTAGTAAATATTGCATCATCAAAGTTTCCAGAGGCGCATGTACATGTACATGTATTGTTGCGTCACTTGCGCATTAACATCATATTGACACATGATGCGCATTGTACCGTATGTTGCATAAAATAAAATGTTTACTCGCAATTTAAAATGGCGCCCATGTCGGCGCATGCAGTTTTGTAACCGTGAAAGGGTGTATTGATGCTAATTTCTTTTGGACCAGTCAAACAGTGTGCAAACTGCCAAAACCCCAGCAATCCGAGGCTCTGGGTATGCTGCTCACAATGCTAGATCTCTAGATAGTTCAGTCCTGACACAGAGAGATGTGGGCAATTGGGCACGCAAGTACAGCGTAATAAGAAAAAAAATTGACTTGAAACTAAAAAATGAAAGATGGAAAAATCTAGATGCCATGTCCTACCCTTTTGACAAACTTCATTCATATTTGCCACAACAAAGTTTGATAATTGGAAGTACTGATTCTGATACGCAGTTACTTGAAAGAATGTGTTTCGCTCGCTAGCTGCCCGCGCCACGCAGGCATTTGATTTGACGTTAGACAAGCTCGCACAAAACCATTCAGCTCGTTAAATCAATGCTCAAAGTCAAATGTCTAAAAAAGAATGCAAAGTAAGTTTTTACCTTCTAATTTTAATTTTTGTATTGGCTATTGCTCTTAAAGATGAAGCTGAGTTCTGGTCATGCGATTGCATTGTGAAAGAAACGTTGTGGAATCGACCAGAAAAGGTTGATCATCTAGCGTATAAGAATTTGTGTGTATTGCAAGGTTCTGGAATCATCAAAATGATAAGAAATTGGCCAAGTCTTGGTAAAGTTACAAACATTGTACACAGAAAGATGTATATGGGACTACACGAACACGTGGCGTAAAAAACCTACCCCCCGAGTTTTACGATGAACATGACATAGGTCTACATGTATTTAGAATATGAAGGCATTTGAAGAGCCATGCTTTTCAGGGAACATGTCTCATCTGATGTTCTTCCACATTTGCATAATAAGAATGATAACGCTCACAAATTATTTTTCACCTCTTCCCAGAACTCAACCTTCTCTTTAATTACACCTGCACATTAATTTGATGTTAAGTGTGATCATGTGATGAATTGTTAATGTTTGAGGCTCTAGGAGTTGATGCAATAGCATCAGAAAAAAACAGAATGACCCGTATTTTGTAAATGTAGGCACACAATTTCACCCCACCCACTGCACTGCATCATTCATAGTTTTTACCATTCAATTCAATCAGAGATGAGAGAACTTCAGAAGTGCATGCTCACTGAATTGTGCATCTAAAATGAACTTCATTATATCTAACTTAACTATTTTCACTGGTAATGTTACTTTCTAAACAGTACAAATTAAGAAATTTTATTTAAATTTCATCACATATTTAGCGCATTCATGTTCATTCATTCATCACTACAGTAACACACATTCATAGACACACATGCAATTAGCAGTTAGCACAGCGCACAGGGCTAAAACGCCGGTACCGTACGGTAAATTCGCCTTACCATCTCGCAAAGATGTTTCACTTGATTTTCCTGGAGCTGTTTGCAGTCATTGAGCTGCTCAATTTCAATGTCTAAATCCTTCGTTGACACGTCCGTCATTTTGGTATCTTCTATGGTCTATTCTGCAGAAACAAGTTCGATTTCAGAACGCAAACATGTAATTTCTGCGAGTTCTTCGTACTTTATGCGGGGAATGTGTTGCTCGGGCTAAAAGCTACCTGCGATAAACGGCATTTCAAACAAACATGGCGGCTAGGTTGACCCGCCGTTCCGTATGACGTCATTCAATTTATTCGTAGTCTTAATATTATAGCGCAATACTTCCTCGTTTTCCATTAAGAAGAATTTAATTTGTTTCACCTCAAAAGAGGTTTTAATATTTTAGTTATTTTAAATCATGATATAGCTGCGTATAAAGCCCAAGAAAATGTGATTTTCTTTCTCAAATATTTAAGAATAATTTCAATTATTATAATAAAAGTGTCTGAAAAAGCAATCTAAATTTGCAAATACGAAAGTGCTTTTCCTTCTTGGGGCAAAATCTCAAAACAATGTATAAGATGTAGAAAAAAATTAAAAATGATAATAAAGTACAATAAGAGTTATGCAAGGCAACTTGGTGTCATGAAATTGGAAAGCTGAATTCTTGAGGAATCTTTACTGTCTGAGACCATGCTGGGCGATGAAACAATAATGAGTTTACCCCCTGTGCTTAACTAAAGCCCCTCTAAATTGTTGGGAGCCTCGCAAATTTGATGGCAAAATTTGACTTAAAATGTTTAATAATGTGAAAGAGGATGTCATTTAAGGCACATTTCTCCAAGGATTTTCAAAATAAATATGTCTGAAGTCGAATATTGAAGTCGAATTTACTTACGGAGCTCCACTGATTACCTCTCCATGGACCAACGTGTTCTGTTTAAATTCTGTTTGTATGCTTTTAAAATACTCAATCATTTGGCACCTGAATATCTTAATGACACCCTCCAAATATATACACCAACTCGTAATCTTCGTTCAGCAACCGACACATGTAAACTTATCATTCCCAAATCTAGACTCTCAGCAGCTGGAAAACGTTTTGCAGTAGCTGCATCAAAGACTTGGAACAGCATCCCTCTTTCCAAAAGGGAACATTACCTGTCTTGCCACCTTCAAAAGATCCCTCAGAACTCACCTTTTTCCCCAGTGATCTATGTGATATACTTCCTGTACCGTACATTTTTGTCCTCTTTTCATGTATTTGTATTTGTATTTGTAAGCGCTATGATTGTTCTTAGCGCTCCTAAATATTCGATATTATTATTATTAAAGAATACCAAAATTAGGTTTTCTGCACAACAGAAAATCCAAAATATGTATTCTTTTATCAATATTTGTCTTCATACACAATTGGGGAGCTTTGCAGATACAATTTAGGTGAAATTTTGCCATCACATTTTGGCGAGTGTGGGGCTCCCAATACGACAGTGCCCTGCAAAATGTTACATCTTGTTCACAAATAAAGTGAAAACTGAGGGTAAAGTTTTCAAGGTTACACCATGTAAAGTGAATTTTTTGTTAATGTTGACAGTTCTCCGCCCCTTCCCCCACCAAATAAAAGGGGGTAAAATGACAGGAATATTTTTCTATTATCCTGAAGAATAATGACCGTGGTTAATCCCATCTTATAAAGCGACTCCACCCCCCCCCCCAAACAAAACAACAACAAAAATACAACAAAATCGATGGCATAATAATTATCCTATACGATAAGTTAATCTATCCTATCGCTCCATAATTTTCAAATGTGGTCGCAAACTTTCTGATCACTTGGGAATATTTTTACCAACATTCTTTCAGCCTATAATTTTCTTTTCAACTAGTCTATCTGTCCATCTAGCAAAATGTTATCATAATCCATGCACTGTTCGACGGAAATCAGGTTTAAACGCCCCCCCCCCCCACTAAAAAATGAATCTCAGAAAATTAGAAATGGACACCAAATTGAATTTTGTACCCCCTTCCCCACCACTCAAATGCAAGTTTATACTGTCATATTACCTTTCATGCTCTTGACGATTTAAATCCTCCCCCCCCCTCATCCCCTTCCCCTCCCATGCATGTACCCCGATCATCATAATGAGTAGCTCCCCAACATACATACATAGGCGGTAGGTCAAGATTGTCCGTGTTGAGAGAGAGAGAGAGAGAGAGAGAGAGAGAGAGAGAGAGAGAAAGGGAGAGAGGGAGAGAGAAGGGGGTAAACACAGAGAGACAGACAGAGACAGAGACATATAGAGATAAATAGAGACAAAATAGAGAAAGGGGATAGGGGGAAAGGAAGAAGGAGAGAGATAGAGAGAGAACTCTAAAGGCAACAGAGGCTAAAAAAAACAGGTAAACGCTAAGTAGGCATATCGATATATAGAGACGTCACAAAGCAATATGAAAATACATAGGCCTAGTGAATAAAAGAATTTTATTCAGTATCAATAGTACAGATTATGGACACAAGACAATATAAGAATACACCGATTGTTTCATAATACAAAAGAAATGTACTTTCAATTACAGTATTTCTTTAGCTATTCCTATTGCTGAGTAGCTCATTCTATATATCAATATGTTGTTGTTGTTTTTACTTTTACGTGTTACTTATATTATAAAACTGTTTTTTTCATTTTGACCATATAAATCTACTCTGGCCAATAGTGTTCGAAATCTATCATATTACTGGTATGTTGTTGCATGCAAGAAAAATTCATAACATTTTAACTGGATTCAGAAAAAACGCTAAAAAATTGTGTGAGAACTCCTTGGAATATTTTCTTCATAAATTTTCTTTAAATATTCTGCAAATGTTGCAACCGAAGGCACAGGCTTAAAGTTATAACATCTGGAATTAAAATTGTAAATTCCGATATTTTTGCAGTAAAAATTCTTTGGCAGATGAACGAATCGCGATGATAAAATCAGAAGTTTTCAGATAACATTTTATATGTTTAGATCGGCATCATCTATTCGGATTGGAAATGAACCTTGCCTCAATCAGAGTAAAGCAATACAGCCATATTCATTAAAACACGTGTACCTCTTTCATATAAATATATTACTACAAATATATACTGCACGTTAATAAGTTCATTGTCGGCTCTTTTAAAAATGTATAAAAATTACTGTCTTTGATTGCATTAAAAACTCAAATAAGTGGAAGACTGATAAAAAACGATATTACTGTAAGAATGATGAGAAAAAGAAAAAGAAAAAAAGTCAGTATTATGAACATTGAATGATGACAACGACTTGCAAACTGCTGCTGCTAAGTAATATTTTGCATAAAAATATTTCCCTGAACTCTTTATAATTTAATGGAAGAATTGCTGTTGAAATATCTACAGAGTAAAACATAAAATTCAGGATTGGAGTTTCTTTAAAAAGAAAGAAAAATACACAATACCATTCCTAAGATCATAAAGAAATGATAAGGAATACAAGAAATTATGTTGAGTTCATCAAATTGAAAAGTCATACATATAAAATAGATGTCTACATAGAAGAATTTGTTGTATTGCCATTTAGATGCCAAAACATGGGTTGGTTGGTAAAATCTTTTTTTGTTCTCCCTCTTTGGGCTGATATTTCTCAGTTTGTAATGCTTTAATATTTGTTCTGTCTAAACAACGGTTTTTTTTTTTTTAATTAAAAAGCCGACCATAGATTTTTGGGTCGCAAAGTTCAATACAACCTCTTTTTTTAGGCCTAATAATATGACTATGGATATTTAATACAAGAAATTATTATTGTTGATGTAGACATCCAAGGTGCAATCATGGTATTTTCTGAAGTATAATGTTATCTTCATCCTGACTCCTAAGTTTGGAAGATGAGGTAGAGGGGGTCCTTGGTATTTGGTTATCGTTTAACGACGGTCTTTGAGACTGAGCGAGGAATCCCGGTTTGCTGTTGACGTTGGTGTACAGATACGGGAAGTCCTGTATGCAAAGTAAAGGAAGGAGAAGATCATGAGTGGACATTCGGAAAGATGGTGATGATGATGAGGAGGAGGTGGAGGAGGCGGAAGAGGAGGACAGAGGATGGGGATGATGATGATGATGATGATGATGATGATGATGATGGTGGTGGTGGCGGTGGCGGTGGCGGTAGTGGTAGTGGTGGTAGTGATGATGATGATGATGATGATGATAATAATGATGATGATAATGATGATGATAATGATGATGACGATGATGATGACGATGACGATGATATGATGATGATAATGATCACGATCATGATTATGATGATGATAATGATCACATTGTTGATGTTCATAATGATGAAAGTAATGATGACTATGACAATGAATATGATGATGATGAATATGATGATGATGCTGATGATGATGATAATGATGCTAATAATGATGATGCTAATAGTGATGATGATGATGATGATGTTGATATTGATGTTGATGATCACGATAATGATGAAGATGTTGATGACGAGGCTGGTGATTATAATTGTGAAAATATTAAGGATGTTGACCTTGATTAGAATCATGATTACAGTAATGATAGAAAATTAAAATATACAGGGTCTTACCTTCGACGGACAGTTGATGGTTTCCCCTGTGTCATATGATGTGTCCTTCGATCCCACGGGTTCAAACTATAACAACATGGGGAGGGGGATTCAAAATAAATATAAGAATAATTATAATAACGTCTTCATCGTTGCAAGACATAATAATAGATCGTTCTTATATAGCGCTTTTTAGATTACCCCGGTCATCGGATTTAGGCTTAACCGGGTACCCATGTTTAACACCTGGGTGGAGAGTGGCAAATGTAGATCGATGTCTTGCCAAATGACATTAGGGCCGCGGCGGGACTTGAACCACGGACCTTGTGACCCATAGTCCGGTGACATATCCATTCGACCACGACACCTCTACAGGTAGGATGAAACCTAACAACTATACTGAACAACTTCATTAAAATGATAATAACAGCGTTCTAACAACTCTATCGATTAATTTTTTTCTGGTTTTATTGTTTTTTTAATAACGAAGTATAATTGGCTGATAGGACCCGAGTTGTTCACAATACCAAATTACAATAGAAATGATATTGTACATCAAGACAGATGGATGATCGAGGCAAGGCATTTATAATGCCCAACGATAACAATATGGAATTCGAAGTACAAAACATGGAATAAAAATGAAATACATCACATGAAATTTCAACTCTGTTCAACATTTTGCACATTTTGAGCGGTATATA